TCGTTTTATAAATGTGACGTACATTTCACGCTTAGCTCCTAAGTCTGAGGACGAAGCTGAGAGGGTTAATCCTTAAGAGATAGTACAGAATATTTGAGTAACCGTCGTCATCTCGTAATCCAATGGAAGTGGCGATAGCCGTTAGTTCTATCTTTACAGTTATTTCAGTATTTTTATTATATATATTTTTTATGTTTCTGGTATACTATTTTTAATGTAGTTTTCGTATTTATAAAAAGAAAGTCTTCGATCAATTAACAATACTAATTGTATCATTTATTGAAATCTACAAAAGTACTTATTTCCGTTGTTTTATGTATTTATATTCACATTATATTTTTATCAGAATGAATGCTAAAAACGGGATTGCTACCATGTATCTTATATTTCACGAATTCCCGATTCAGTTACTCCGTGATCATAACGCTTACAACGGTGCCGAAATATTGAGAACTCGTGAAATGTAAAATGTAAGATACGTGATAGCTATCCTGTTTTTTAGCAATCATTTTGATGTTAATGATCGTGAAAGTTTAAAACAGCACATTGAATTTTTATGTGTTTATGAAACTATCAAGAAGATATTGGTCTGTGCTTATATAATAAACATTTTAGGTTTTTAACTTTGTATATTTGTTTGTAGGGAATCTTTGTAAATATTGATTCAATCATGAAACTTTTTTCACCTACAGGAAATGCGCGGGTGACATAAGCTATAATATACACTGGTGGAGACGCGGGAAAACAGTTAGATCATATATCTAACAGTTAATGCTTTATTAAAAATGAAATATTAGCCAAACTAAAGTCTATGAAGTGGTGCCTCTCAGATCCTTAAAAAATCAACGGAATTTCATAATTAGCAACTAGCAACAGTGAGATAATAATAGAGCATATTTAAAACGAAGTGAAGTATAGCATCTTTTCATTTCAAATTGTTGATTTTGTATTTTTTTACGCTTAAAATTAAGCATATTTTGTACTTGTTTAATATCTGTGAGATTAATGTTGATTATAAAGTTCTACGTACAAAAAATCATCTCTTAAAATGTTAACAGAGCACAAAAAGGAAAAAGATTAGTTATTTTCCAATTAATTTCCACTGAAAACCTGTGAAGTCGACTGAAAGTCTTTTGATCGATTCTAAAACACAAAAAAGGGGAACTACATATGTAAATGTGATTTTAATAAATAAAAAATGTACACTAGCGAATCGGATTCGCACAAAGGGTTCCCCATGAATATTATAAGTATTATAGGTACGACATTTAACAAAATATAGACCTATTATAGATTTCTGTAATTGACAGAAAAGAACCTTTTTTTTCTGCATTAGTTTTTAATAATTTGTGTAGTAGTTTTGGTATCAAGGAACATACAGACACACGAGTGACCCTATAAGGGTTCCATTTTTAGAACTGTACCCCGTAATATAGCTATAAAAATTCGTCTTAAACTGAAAACAAATTAAAATTTTAAGTATAATTAGGCATGGCTTTTGGGACTATAAAAAATAATTATCGTTATTTTGAAAGGCACTATTAAAGCTCTTGTATAGACAAATTAAACGAACCCAATGGTGTTGAATTGCAACTAGCCCTAAATAGATGGTGTGGCTTCGTTTAATTACAGAGGTTCCTACCTCCCGGCTTCATCACCAGATCAACTCCATTCCATATTAATATTGAAGTACTACCAAAGTTATTATATATGTATGCATTTCAGCGCAATCGAAAACCGGGTAGTAGGTCAAATTCAACTTGAAAGACTTAGACTTGGTGCAGATTGCAGCGGTTGGTATTCATCAATTTTTATTGAAAAGTAGTTAAATAAAAAGTTATGAAGGAATTAATGCCAGTCAAAACTTTATGCCTGATCAAGGGTTTTTTTTTAAAGAAGATGTTTACACTTTGGAAAATATCTATTACTTGTATAAAGAGAATAATAAACATGGACTCAATGAAGCTATTACCAGGGCATTAACACAGCTTAAAGCATTACTATATTATGCAACATAATTGAAGCTTTGTGAAATATCATTTATAGAAGTTAAATATGTTAACATATTTATTATCAATATGATTATTTCATATTCTCCGATTACCTAATTATTTATTTAAATTATTATTGACATTCTCAATACATCTTACTCTACATCTATCATTGTTGTTTTAAAGGTGTATTAAAAATGATTTTAAATATATAGTATAATTAACTTATTTAAAGTTATTTGTTGTTGTTATTATCAGATAAAGTTTTGCTATTGTTGAATAGATTTCATATTTGCATAGTAATTGATAATATTTTAATACATATATAGCCCGATATTCCAAGTATCAAATTTATCATTCTTCTAAAGTATCATAATTTCGATATATCCCACTAATTTACTGTGCTCATTTGATTAAGAGTTACGGTATGGATTATTTCTAAATTTTGTAACTTTATTTTACTTATGTTGCTGTAACTTGTTCCGTTAGCTAAATAAATAAATGCGACAGTAACTTGTCTGTTACGATTTCGCGCCAAAACCACGGAAATGTACAGTGATAGAGCTCCGACTTTGGGATAAGAACTTTTATAGCGGAAAAAATGTTGATGCAGTTAAGATAGAGGATGTAAGTTTCAATTTGTAAGGTCAATGTTAAATAAAAAGACCATGAATGATATGATTTATATATATCTGTATTTTTTGAAAATGCTACCAAAATAACTACATCACACGGACGAAGTCGCCGCCAAATCTAGTGAACTGTAAAAATTGCATCGTAGTGCTAGAAGTCTCTATCGAGTTATTAAAAGTCTTTTAGAAGTCAAAAAAATAAAACAATATGATACTGCGGTGCATAACTGAAAATATCAAAGCCCTTTATGACTGAGTGTCCCTTTTAATATACATTAGACATTAAAAATATTGATTCACAACTTCCGCAATTTCAACTTCAAAACTAATAGGGTTCGGTTATGAGATTAAAATAGGACACTGGTAAATGATTTCGGGTCAATTTAAACATGTTGTTTGCTGAACATAATTCCAATCATCCCTAAATGAAATGCTATTATCAGCTCTGTCACGTCATAGATGTTCAACCAAATAAAACCTACTTCAAAAAGTAATAAAAATATATTATTTCATTGACGCTCTATGATGTAATAGTGTTGTGCTCGACGACGACTTTGAGGCTGTTTTTAACAGAATAGCATAACAGGTTACGAAGTTTATATACAGGGTTAGTTGTAAGACAATTATAAACAACAACATTTGTTCTATGGTTTTGATAATCCGTTACATTTTGCATTCATACAAAATTAAAATTTAATTTAATGTTTGAATGTTAATAAATCTGGTATAAAGTGCATGGCGTCCTTTCCGTAGAATAAAAACTAGGAAAATAAATTTAGTCCTACATTATATCTTACACTAGCTTTCCGCCAGCGGCTTCGCCTGCATGATCCTGTATCATAAATATAAACCATCCTAGTAATCACTGTATATTTATAATATGTATATTGATGCTTTAAAAGAGTACTTTAAAAGAGTGCTTTAAAAGATCTCAGTGAACAGACCGTGGGGACCGACTTTGTTTTAAACTATGTTAAAATTATTCATAATGAAATAAGAGATAGAATATTTCAAAAAAAAACAAAGCTGGGATATATCCCGCTTGTTATTCCTAATAATATAAAGAGAAAAGATTTGATTGTTTTTTGTTTGCATTGAATAAGCTCTGACTCTACTGGACCAAATTTTAGTAATTCTTTCCACTACGGGAAGCTACATCCTGATGTCGGATAAAATAGTCTATATATACGCGGCCAAAGTCGCGGAAAAACAGCTAGTTCTAAATATATAACCTCGTAGATAAAAATATGTCGTCGTTTATGATATTTATTATCTAATTCTACGAAGTTGCTCATTATTTATCAAGCAAGAACCCTGTATAAGTTTACTAAAGAGAGATTACGAATTCGATCCATACTACGTGCACAATAGCTACATATTGTTCGTAATGTAGATTTGATCGAAGGGTGAACTTGTAACTAGTCCGGAAACTATTTTATGTATGAGATGTGCATATCATTCTATGTAATTTACAAATAATACACGATCGGTTATTGTTACGCGCTTACATATATTAAATTAATCGAGCAGTTTTAGGTTTACGCAAAGCGTTGTTTATGCATAAACATTTGTTTCTAACAAAGTCAATGACGTCATCACCTACGTAGGTAGGGAATTAAATTTTGCTCGGTATTATGAGCTATATTAATTTTTATCATATAGACAAATATTTTGATTTTAAACGTATAGGCAAAAATGTTTACTTAGCTTACGCACACATAAATAATAAAGTAAAAACAAGTTGTTTTCTTCTTACACAATGTATGCTGTTTGTATCATATGTAGTGGCAGTGATATTTTATTCAGAAATTTAAGGGTAATTATTTTTTTTTTTTCATTATTTCAAACAATTCACTTTGACTTTTCACCGTGCATAATTTGGACAAAATAAGCAGACCTCGCATTCTTTTGCTGCTATTTTTCTATTCTGTTGAGACTATGTATTAAATATATAAAACAAAGTCGCAAAATAGTGTTCTAATCCATTTAAAACGCTATCACAACTTTTTCCTAGATGTTTTTTTTATTTTATATGCAACTGGAAAATAAATAAAAAAGTAAAAAATTAAACCATTGTCACACTGTGCTCAAAACATAGGTTTCAAAATTTGTAACTGTGTGGATATTAATAAAATAGAGAGTTACAAGTCGTAATAAAGTCAAAAAGAATAAAGACATAATGAATTATTAATTGTAGGGCGGTATAAAGTTGGCGAGGTCAGCTAATTTATATTAAAAGAGGTTTCATGAGAGTTTTTATTTTAATAAGTTTGGTATTACTAGCGGCGGTGAAGGCGGTGTCGGCGTCGGGCGCAGGCGGCGGCGGGGCGGGCAGCCCGCGAGATGAAGCGCGAGCGCGCCGCCCGCCCCGGCCGCCATGCAGCGCCTACGTACTACGTTCAAACGTTCCCGGACTCCCACGCCTGCCGACATGAAGACGCAGAGCAGCCTCGAAGTGCCAAAACAGGTAAACATTGAGACTCTGCAATGAGAAGTATTCGCGAGGTTGAATTATAAATAATTGAATAAGCTTGAATGCATACTTTATCGATTAAGTTATAAAAACCAAGTGAGAGTCGAACTCGCGCACGCAGGGTTACCATCATTGTTTAAAAATGCAAAATGAACACGTTTCAAAATATTTCTTATATTTTGGTTTTAATATTTGTTATTATAAATCAACAGAAATACATAATCTGTAAAAAAATTAACTATCTTGCTTCATGGATCATGACAAACAGCCTGGTGACGGACGGATGGATGGACTGTAATAAATTCCTGTTTGTACCCTTTGTATACATAACCCTACATACCATATTAATAATATATAAAATTATATACAAAGAATATGCTAAACTACATCAGTTCGTAAAATATGTAATTTTAAATTAAAAATAACAAAATCGACATTGAAGATCAGAGACAAAGAAGTTTAACCTAAGAAGATGTACGACGCACCGTAAAAATGTGCTCATTTAACAAATATTAAAGGTTATGCTGGTTTATATAAAAAAATCGTTAACTTTCAAATGGCAAAGAAATAACGTCTAATAAAGCTTTAATTGCCAATAAGAAACCTAAATCTGTTATGTAACGGTTCTTTATAAAAATATCTTGATATAAAAAAACTACTTCTTAGATTTACTATTTATATAAAATCTACAAAATTTGTACACCATTTTGTAGGCGAGGGCTTTACGGAGAACTTGTACAATAATCTTAATGGTTAGCGAGATGTTGAGTTTCATTGACGGACGCTTTGCTTTTCACATTTTTATGGGCAAATTTTGCTAGGGCCCGTTAATGAAATTTAGAGAGGATGATCAAAAAAATATTATCTCGAGTTCTTTGATCGATTACATTATGCTGTTGTTTCGACAAAACTGCTGTCATTAAAATCTTACAATCCGTATAAATTGTTTGAAGTTTGACAGTTTTGTATGAACACTGTACAACACAATATATTGCGTAGACAATCGTGTGCAAATTTATAAATATCTTTTTTTTTTAATATACTACATACTTATTTATAAAAAAAAAACAACTCATATGTAGATAAGTATAATTCGTAATAAGCATAATGACATCCTCACTGTAAACGAAGCACCCATGTGAAAGGCGAATCATGGAAAACTATTTTAAATGCTAATTTTGACACGGATTTGGGTGATTCTATTGTGTCTACGTGGTCGTTTCTACGTTTAGTGGTTGTAAAACATTTTTGGAAACCAAATACTTGACACGCCCTAAAATAAAACAAAACCTTTTTTTAGGCGTACTGATTCATACAATATTCCACCCTCCCCTCTCCCCCATAATATTTTTAAGCATGTTTTGGACCACCAAAATATATGGTTTTTGTATTACCGACTGCAGATGTAGCCAGGACCAACGGCGTAACGTGCCTTCCGAAGCACGGACGAAGTTGGAGTTAATAAATTTATTTTGTGGCACTACTTGATCGAAAAAGTAAAACGCGAATTTGCGTGATCATTGAGCGTTAAATATAATGAGAAAACGTAGCGACCAGGAGGCAAATAAATGGAAAAGAGATCCGATAATACGTACTTTTATTGATAAATCGATTGTTTTTGCACGAATAAAACTGTTTGGGGTTGAGTGAACCAGAATAATGAATGTTTAGATAAAAATGTGTTCGATTGTGGTAACACTTACATTACTTTTACAAAATTACACTTTTTGTATTTGTATAAAGATCATACATATAAAGATCATACAATTTCGGAGGTTACACGGGGCCCATAATCTCCATAATTATTTGTTAATCTTCTCGTGTTATACTGGCATAATAAATTCTCAAAACGTTTGAGATGATATTATTTAATTCAAATCGGTATTCTCCCTATATAGTTAATAGCATTTTGTAAGCAACATTATTAAAAATAATTACTCAAGTCTAAATATGCATAGGTCCGGTCGGCTTCGTTCGATGAGATCCAGTTGGAGGCTGCGCGGAGCGCTGGAGGTGGCACTTTACTCGCAGTGCCGCAACCCGGCGCCCGCAGCCGCTCGTTCGACTCTGCCGGATCTGACGATTCTGGCACATACTTAGAGGTAATAGCGAATTAACTATCTTAGAATAAAAATAAAGCTACCTATATAAAATATATCATGCTGAAACATGGAGCATATTGACTTTTTTTACTTTTGTTCTTTCTTATAATAGGTACCACGACTTTGGTCACGCCGTCGATCAGGCAAAGGAACACCGCCACCATGCGTGCACTGTCGACACATGGAAACATGGCTGGCTCGCTGCAACGAGGAGAGAGTTACTCCCGAGAAACCCCTCGCTTCGTCCTCCGCCGAAGAAGATGACGATGACGATGAAAGTGAAGCTGAGTCTCCTCGAGTACTGCTCGCACCACCGCCACCGCCAAGGACTTACGTCGCACCACCAACACAATCACCGCCACCATCACCCGGTGCACCCTCTTTCGAGCTACAACCACCCAGTGATGAACCACCGCTGCTTCCCCAAAGAAGACGCTCGATATCCCGACAAGAGGCGTTCTTCATTGAACCTACGGGGAGTTCCCTTGAAAACGTTCGCGCATCTGAGGAAGGCGCTAATAATAACACTGCGCGAGACACTCTCGTTTATGACATTTACTTAGCCGTGCCGGAACTTAAACGTGATCGTGCCGCATCAGTGGATTCATGTTTTTCTAAAGTTTCTGGTGGAGCTAGAGCTGAGGAAATAGACGGCTCAGGAAATTCATTGACTGTGCCAGGATCGAGCCTCCGATCTAGATCTGTGGATATCGTGTTACCAACGGCTGAGCAGTCGCGCTACAAGGCATTAGCTTTAACATCATCGCAGGTACCACCTCAAATACAACATCAAGAACAAGAAGCCATCGTTCCTGTGCCTCCCTCACAACATGAAATCAGGTTAGTTTAGTAAATAATTAATTTAAATTGTTATTTGTTCATAATAAATGCATGTTGTAATGGTTTATCTTTTTTTTATTATTAGTTACTTTATTACTTAGTTATAAGGCCGGTTTATGAATTGAGAAAAGTACAAAATCTCAACTGATTATTCTCAATAACTTAAGTTTTTAAACTTTTTACATGGCAAAGTCCTAGTTTTGTCAAACTGCTAATTAAAAACATTAAAATCAGAAACGAAATCTGTTTAAGTGACTAAAATGAAAGTTTAATTGACGTTTAAAAGGGCTTAAGTCTGTTTGAGACGTGCTTATCAATTCAGATATCGAGTGATAGTCTTTTTTCTCTAATTTGCTTTAGCCAAAATGAAAGATTTTAACTATTGGATAAAAAACATATAATATAAAAGACACGCATTGAATAGATTAATAATAAATAGTTTACATAATATATTTAGGTTATAAATTAGGAAATCAAGTGATAACAGGTTTTAATTAAATGAATAACCGGAAATGAAATGTCCATGGTTTTATTGCAGTTTTAAATACACTGTACTAATGTTTTCATGTGATTATTATTATTATTTTTTATTATTAACATAAGGTATTTTATTAGATAAAATGAAATCAGGTGTTTTCATATAGAAACACAAGAGTTACAAATAACTTATCACATTACCAATTTTGCATACAATTACAAATAAATCTTAAAATTGAGTGTTGTGCAATTTATATTCTAGAACATTAACATTCGTTCCATAAAGAGAAATCCTGTTCTCATACGTTAAGATGTCTATTTTAATTTAACCACAATTTAATTGTTAATCCGATTGCTTTGTAGCTTGTTTTTATCTACAAAGTTAAAAACGAACTAAACTGTATGTTAATTGTGTACTGGCAGTTAAAAAATACTATACTAAAAATAAAATTAAAAAAGACATCTTAACGTATGAGAACAGGATTTCTCTTTATGGAACGAATGTTAGTGTTCTAGCATCGACTTATTCCGTTGGAAAATGATTATTATCGACTCGTTGAACCGCAAACATTAATAAGTTGATACCTATTATTTATTGTCTGATCGTTTACTTTTTATACATAACTATTGAAAACTATTTAAACCGAGCTTTGTTTTAAATATTACAGCTTCCTAAGTTGTAATAATAAATAACCTGAAAATGATTTACAAATATAATCTTTGTATAATTAGACTATATAATATTAAATATGAGACCATGAAAAATAATCAAACATACTTTGATTGAGTCACAGTAAGAAACTAGCTTCTTGAGTCTACAGACACACATAAACTATGTTGAGTTCAGATTTAACTATGGCTGTGTAAAACTAATGTATGGGTGATACCTAATCATATCAATTTTACTCATTTACCATTGATGGCAATTTTGACATAACATCGATCCCGAATGTTACGATTGCAAATAATTGATATTCAAGCATATCCTATAGTCATCCTTGTTATTATATAACATATGTAATGTAATACAACTCGCAAAAGGTTTCGTTATTTCAAGACGTAATTAACTTAAGCTAAGTAAATAAACCCAGCAAACCGTTAATGAGGTTTCAGTTTACAAATATTCGTTATTCCCCTTCGGCACCCAACAACAAAGTCGCAGTTGATGGGCACACAGAGACAACAAAACATCATGGAATTATACTGTAATCGTGATCTGGCACCTTTGTCATTACTTCGTCATTATAGCTTTCATTCTTACATTTTTTTTATTTAATTATTAACACACTTTATGTTTTTTATTTGCATTATGTAAACCACTAAGGTTCGTAACATATGCAAAAACTTAAATTTACATTACATAACGCAGATTAATATGTGTTTTAATATATTTATTACAATTATTTCAATTACTTCGGTCACCTATATAAATTAATTGGATTCAAATTTATTACATTTTTTGAGAACATAGCAAACGCTTGATTATCGTACTATTCTAAGAAAGAAAATATTTTTTTAATTACTATTTCATGTTTTTTTTTTCCAGAAGTTTATCTCTAAGATCGCACGGTAGTTTATTTATCAAACGAGGTAGAATAAAATCAATAGTCCCCTAACTCTACACGTTAGCTAGTGCGTTTTTTGTGCAATGGCACATGTGAATACAGTGCGTTTGATTTTGTCGTATAATTAAGATTTATATTTTGAATTGCCATGCGCACACTGGTGATTTTTTGTCCCCAGTCTGTCGCCGTACTTAAGAAACTTTGCGGGTTCACACGTAACAATTAAGCGACTTTAATAGCACTGCGAACAATGCATTCTGGGGATTATTTGTCATCTTGTCACCATGTTCTCGTTCGATCTATGAAAGTCAACTATTTGTCATGATAAGAGTAAGCATAGCTTGACAGAAACAAGAAATAATCCCCAATGTATACATAGTCTTTGATTAAAAACACACGCTAATATATACGGAAGTTATTGAAAATATGGCTCAAAATAAAAACCTTCGTTTATCCTTACCCTAATGAAAAACTCGTCAATTTACATATTATGTAAACAGTGATTCCTTTTGCCGCTTTCATATTTTTTCTCATGACGTACATACGTCTACATCATAAATGCGCGACATAGGTCATAATTTACGCAGGCAAAGTCGCGAGAAAACAGCTAGTATACCATATAAACCTTACTGTAGATATGTAACTAAGTGATACTACTTTGTTTCATAAAAGGTGAACGTTGAAAGTTCTGTAACAACGTTATCACTTACGATAGGATTATGCAGAATGAATTCCTCAAAACTTTTTATGAATTTAAAGTGCCATAAAACTTTTCTTAAGCCATTTTCAGTTCCAAGATTCTTCAATAGATGTGTTTTAAATAATGAATTGTTTTTCCATTAGACTCCTTATGGTGAGCTTTTTTATTTAAAGTTATAAAGCTAAGATAAAAGCTGAGATTTTCACGAATAAATTTAATTAATCTGAACCTCCCTGGAAACATTTCTTTATTTACTTTGATTTCTTTTCATCTTCCTATTTTAAAGGAATATTTTGGATGATGAAAATGTGAATACTATTATTAAATACCATTATCAGGAATAAGACTATATTGTTTAAATATGGATTGTTATTAAAACAGTTTTTTTTTACTGTCAATACTATTTGAAAAACTAATAAATTATATTTGATCAGGAGTAATAATTATATATATTTTGTGTAGTGTGTGTTAGGGTTTTCAAATTTAACAATTTTAATTTTGTTTGCATTCTAGGTGGCAATGAAACAAAATATAGGACTTTTTTTATCACATAGCTTATAAAAAAATATTTTTCAATGGGAGCACTTAAAATATATTTTCACCAAATTATAAAACAAACTGTGAAAGATAACTTGACACCACAATTTAATTATCATAATAACTAATCTAAGCTTGTGTTTACACAATTACATTATCAAACACTTACTAATTAAAATAAAGTACAGAATTAAAGAGAATTAATTAGACACGCAGATAAATCCCAAAATGGTCCTCAATGAGTAAGTTAATCGCTCAGCAAGCGGGAAGCTAAAAGTGTCTATCACCAAAGTTATCTTAGGGTTGTCTAAGCAAAATTCAATTTCTGAGTCGCCTTCCCACCGTTGCTTTCTGATTATTAGACGCGGCAGAGACACCCCGAGGTATTATGCGCTCTGATTAAAGTTGAGTCTGACGGCACGGAAATCTGAAATAGACAATGGAGTATTGTTATATTGTCCATGGCGTAGGAAAAAACTACGCTTGAAATGAAAAAGTAAGAGAAACATTATAAAACGTTACAAGCGAATTTCACCTGATGAAATATTTGGTTACAGTAGGTAAATGTCAGTCGTAACCCAGTTTATGAAGAAAGTTTAGATGAGTTTATTTTATCTCTATACATATTAAGGCATTTACGTATAATTGAACTTCCTCTTTTGTCTTTCGCACAAAGAAATTAACATAATATTAGGTTATATATGATAATCCATTACATAATATATAAAATAAATATGATATAAATATTTGCATGCCTTTAATTATTTGATTATTTATGACCTAATTTATTTATATTCTAGCATAAAAAGATCTTTTAATTTACATAGAAGTTTAGCTACTTGATACGACAAATTAAAAGCCAATCTTGTTACATGGAGTGTCACAAGCTTTGACGTATGAAAAGAGTAATGAAAGTCGATGAGGCGAAAGATGTTTGTAGCGTTCGAAGTTCTTTGCCTTCCCCACGAGGGTTACGGCTTGAAGATATAAATAGATAAACAAAATCTCCAGGACAATCGTTATGTTAACATTATTTCTAATTTCATATTTTTAGTATAGAACAAACATAGAATAGGCTTCAAACTTTAAAGAGTGAGAAATATATAATGCTTATTCAATAAACTGCTATTTAATAATTTATTCGCTGTTTAGATGTATTATTGACACATCCCATTTCTTTATTCGTCCCAATCTATTATTTCTAACTCAACCTATGAAGATTTTTTCTTAGTTCAACCTAAACGTATTAGTTTAATATCCTAATTATCCTACAGCAAATATTTTTATTTAAAAAAATATGGAAAGCATAACGATGTTTATTTTTTTAAATAAAATAAATAATTGGTATGCTTACAATAGAAATACTTATCTAATATTATAAATTAAATAAATACACATGTTTATGTTTGAAAATTATTATTATCTACATATTATATCAAATATGTACTTACATAATCATTATCAATATAATAATGTTCCCACTACTGGGGCACAGATCTTTTGTATTTTCAGCGAGTATTTTGTTCCCTCTCTGATACTCACAAGTCTTAAAAGAGTAAGTTCAGTGGAGTGCATACGTTATTTTTGTTATTTCGAGATGGATTTCTTTTATTAAAAATAATTTAAGTAATGTTCTGGAAAATATTAAAAGGACTCGAAGATGAAAAGACTCAATTAAAATAAAATAACAATAATACACACAAAAATATACTCGTGTTGATCAACATTAGA